GGGGGGGGGATATTGGCCAAAAAGAAACTTGGCCAAACAAGCTATTATTCATTAAAAGAGTTGAATTGTGAAAAATCCAAAATCTTTTAAATCTAGTTCTTCAACATTTTCAGCTTGGAAAATCTACAGACAAGCCATTCAATCATACACATATGGGGTGAGATAGATACAGGAATACATTTGCCGCAAGTACTTGTATTTCGTAAGTAGTCTTCAGAGTTTATGCTAACAGGATAAATCTCTAGATATGTAATGGATTAGCAAATACCGCTAAAAGTCTAATATAGCTACACCTTTTCTTCTCTTGAACTAAGGTAAAACCAGCTTCCTGGGATTATTATCTATGTTTTAATGGTAAAACTGTCCAAATCATCTTGAGGGAGCTTGTAGTAAAAATTGGAAAGTGTTCTCCAAATATTGGAAATTAAACTCAAGTCTTTCCACCAAATCCATGTAATACATTGGGCTAACGACTAACTGGGTGACTGACTCAAGAAACAAAGCTGTCCAAAGCTTACTAGACTGAAAATGTTGAAACCTATAGATTGCCTTCAATGATCAAGATCACAATGTTTCTAAGAATTTTTTTTTTCACAATGTTTCTAAGATTTGATATTGTATTAGCTATTTTAAATGCACAGATGCTCTTAAACGGCATCCAAGTATAAGTCAAAGTAAAAGTAACTTTTTCATCAGATTAAATACGGATTGGAATGTGAGACTAATTTATTCCTTGTCATTTTAAAAGCAACACTTAACTCAGAACATGTATTTATATATGTAAGTATAACAATTTACTTTTCAAAGAAAGCATCCGTCTACTGTCCATTTGTACCCAAAATAATAACCTAGTCAGGACACAGAAGTACACTACTAAAATTTAAAGCTTGAAAGCATCCCTCCGCTGTGCATTAGTATCCAAAATAATAACCTTGTCAGGACACGAAAGTACACATTACTGAAATCCAAAACTAGTATCCTTCTTTTCGGCCCTTAATTCGTATAAATGAACAGCTAATCAAATTGTAGCCTTCCGCAGCTGAATAAACCTTCAAAATTCAGTAGTTACATCAATTAGTTTGATGTCATCTGCAACAGTCAACCATATGCAACTTACATATATCAATCAGTCAACCACTTTTTAATCCCAAACAAATTGGAGTCAGCTATATGACTGCTATGTAATCATTCCGCTCTATTCTGACCCATTTTATTGCAAATACTGGTAAATAATATGTTTTATAAGGCAAACCCAAACTAGTCGGGGTCAACTATACGAATGCTCTATAGCTATTCCACTCTATTCAAGCTCAATTTAATCGCAAACAATTGGGAAAATGACACCACTCTTAAAATAATAACCGAAAAAATGTATAATTTTTTGTATATGTATACATTTCTGTATGTTATATACATAATTTATACACTTTTGTGGCTACTAGATGTAAATAGCTTCGGCAGCGGGCTAAAAGTGATCTTTGACCTAAACAATTTGTCTCTTAAGGAAAATTAGGGATTTTCTAACTAGACTAAAAAGAATTCTTGGCAAACACCAGACCTTAGGTACCTGTAACAACAACTTAGCTTTAATCTTAACTAGTTGGTATTACCTAAACAATCTATTTTTAAAAAATGCAGTGAAAAAAAGAATTAATTAAAAGAAGGCGAAAAATGAATGGTGCATTAAGAGAGCAGATCGAAGACATACGGTGTTCATGGAAGTAATAGTTGCCTTGGAGGCGGCAGCCCAAACGATCCATGGCTTGACCCGTTTCCCTGATCCAGAACCCGACTGTGTAGATTGCTTTCCCCAGCGTACCCATTTGCCTACCTTCTTCTGATTTTCGACCTGAAAATGAGTTTTTGTAAAAAGGAGGAGATTGAGGAAGTCTTCAGTTTAATTTAGCTGAACACTTGATAAGGAAATGAGGCCTAGGACATGGCCTTTGTTATTTGCATTTTTTCTTTTTTTTTATGATATATTTTTCTTTTCTCCAATGACTGTATTTGAAGAATATGAACTTTTAAGAAACTATTAAATTTGATTCTATATACTATTAACAATGGTAATATAAAATATTTTAAAAAAAATTGAAGAGTTTGTTTGATAGAGAGAACGTCACATCAAAATTTAATATTTGAATTTTTAAAACTTGTATAAAAATATCATTTGTTTAACATTTTGAGACATAATAAAGCAAAAGAAAATCATATAAAGCGGGACAAATAGAGTAAGATTTTTATAAAGCCCAAAAGAGTGAATAATTTTTTTGTAGTTGCGTGGGTGCACAAAACATTTTTTTGCTAATGAGTGGGTGCACCCAAAATTTAAAATCAAATTACATTAAATTAACTAAATCATTAGAAAACTTATAACTATAAAACTATCAATTATGTAAATCAAAACGGTAAAAATTTATCCGCACTGCGTGTTTACACCCAACTAACATATGACACTTATCATTTATTTGTATGTAGTTATTATTAGTTAACTATATTTAACTACTTATGTGTTTTGCACATAATCTTAATTAATTATTAGTAGTATTAAAAATACTAATTATATTCTCCGTTGGGTTCTAAAACGGCAACATCAAGTAGATTGATATTATTTTATGTTATTTTACTTTCTTTGACTTCTTATAAAGAAAAATTCCTTAAATTAAATAGATATTATCCTAAAAATAAATTTCAAAAGTTGATAGACTCATACAAAAAAACATTCACAGAACTGATCTTGACCTTCATACTTTCGTTGTTACTAATCATGAAAATTACTAATATATATTAAAAATAACTTCATCTGGAGAAGAAAATTATTTTATATTTTAACTGCCCTTTTTTAAAAAGAATAATTTTTTCTACATACAAGTATACTTGTAAAAGTATGAAATTAACCAACCCGCTATATTCCAATTTCTTAACTCCCAATCAGTTGTAGTTTAGGGGAATAACGTAAAACATTGGACGGAGCCTGAACCTAGAAAAAATTATATGTAGTAACAAAACGATGACTTTAAGCCTAAACTTTCTAACTATAAGTTACTATGACTTTATGTCTTTTTTATTATTTTATTTAGTAAAATTAGGACTCCTAATAGCCTTGGTTGTCTTTTATGGTTAACTCAAGTAAATCACGGGTAAATATTTGATACGGGTAAGTTTTTACCAATCAAAACTAATATAGAAAAAGCCAACAAACACAATTTTAGCTACCAGTTGAATTATATAAAGAATAGCACACATTAAAACTAATGTAAAGAAATAAAATAAAATAAAAGGAATAATCATGCAACATAAGTAACTACTCCTTTAAATTGGTACAATAAAACAAAAAGTCATAGGGCTAAACAATCTATAGGAAATATGAAAAAGGAAAAAGAAATAGTAGTTGAAATGAAAAAAAGAGTGCGTCTAAAAAAAATCTTTTTTATTGATTGATTTCTACTGAAAAAGTAGAAACGAGAAGAAGAATATGGACATTTTTACTTGATGTGCAGTTATTTTAGATGATGCATTTCTTAGTTTTATAGACATGTAGTTAAAATTAAAAAAAAAAAAGAATAGAAAAAAATATGTTAATGCGTTCAAAATTAAAGAAGAATTGGTAGGAAGAGATTTTTTTTTGTTTGGGTAATAAAGACTTTTATTGAAATAGAAATACTTCAACAGCCATTACAAAGGGTTTTTCTATTAGTTATAATTATTTATGTCAGTAAGGTTTTTTAAAGTTAACAAAATATTAATATTTTGTTTCAATACACTATATTGGTTCTAGTTATCAAATATTTTGTTAGTAAATATGAATTTTTAAATAATTTAACTCAAAATTTTAAAATATTAGACAATGTTATACAGTGAAATACTTAAAAGAAAACTTAAAACCTTGAAAGCAAATTTGTTAAGACCATACAATTTTTTCTTGGTTATTTATATTAATCGTGTTTATTTGTCCAATCGTTGGCACATTACTAATGTTATTTCCTCACATCTTCAGTTTTGGCTTTAGGCCTCCAATTTTATTGAGCTGCCCTAGGGAAGGGTAAGTGAGTAAGCTTCCAAAAACGTCTAAATTGCATGTATTTTTTGATAATTGGTCGGCTACCCCATTAGCTTCTCTAAATAAATGCCCGCGCTTCTTAGGAGGAAGAGATTAAATATGTACTACTAGTAGAATCTGACCCAACAATCCACGTGTCAGCCTTGTCAAGTTTTGTTTGTTTTTTTTTTCTTCTTAAAAATGACTACAAAAGGTAAAAATATGCTACGAGCAATAATCGAATCACAGAGTTCCAAAGCTTCAAATGGTTCCAAGAGAATAACCTCACAAGATCACTCCAAAGAAGGGTTCACACATGTATTTCCCAACACTCAACTCTCTTATAAAATAATCTTAATTACTAAAGGAGGAGGAGAAGAAACAAGAAATGAATAATTCAAATCTTGGTGGTGTACATCAAATGAGCCAGAATCGGCTCAATTTATAACCAAAGGAATTGGATTTGCTTGGTTATAACTTGGCCAGCAAATCTCAATTCTGATGGTTTCAAATTGGCCACCAAAGCCTCTTACAACAAGGCCATATTATTACAAATCTCCATGCAAAGCTTGAACTTGACAACTGGAAGAGGTTTCATAAACATGTCAGCAGGATTGTCTTTAGTGTTGATCTTCTGAATAGAGACTTTTCCTTCAGCAATGGTTTCTCGGATGAAATGATATGTGATATCATTGTGCTTTGTCCTCTCATGATACATCTGATCTTTAGTCAGGTGAATGACACTTTGACTATTACAGAAAATGGTAATACCACCTTAGTGTAAACTGAGTTTAGCAAATAGACCATTTATCTACAAGGCTTCTTTGATCGCCTCAGTCACTGCCATATATTCTACTTCGGTACTAGATAAAGCTACTACATGTTGTAGTGTAGCTTTTCAACTGATAGCGCAACCACCAATACAAAATACATAGCCTGTTGTGATGACCCAAAAGGTCATCACTTGTTTGAAAGTAAATTCTGTTTTCCGAGGCCTTAAACCTCCTTTTGTCACACCTCGATTTGTGTGCGCAATCCGGGCGTGTATCCGGAAAGCTATCATGTGAAAATCTGGAAACAAATGATAAATTTTGCTTTTAAAATAAATTTAAGTTGACTTCGGTCAATATTTTGGGTAAACGAACCCGGACCTGTGATTTGACGGGCCCTGAGAGTCCGTAGGAAAATATGGGACTTGGGCGTATGCCCGGAATTGAATTCCAAGGTCCCAAACCCGAGAAATGAATTTTTGAAGAAAATTGTTTAACTGAAATTATAAGAGTTTTTTGAAATTTGAATGTGTTTGAATTTGATGGTATCAGACCCGTATTTTGGTTCCTGAGTCCGGTACAGGTCTTACTTGGCATTTAAGTTGAGCCTGTAAAATTTGATAAGAGATGGACTTGATGTGACGTGAATCGGACCATCGGTTGTTAAAAATGGAACTTAAGATTCCATGAGACTTTTCTTTGATTTTGATGCTAAATTCATAGTTATTGATGTTATTTTGATGATTTGATCACCCGAGCAAGTCCGTATGATGTTTTTGGACTTGCGTGCATGTTTGGTTTGGAGCCCCGAGGGCTTGAGTGAGTTTTGGATAGGCCACAGAGTGTTTTGAACTTAGGAAAAACTGTTGTGTATTGTAGGTCTGCAGGCTTCGCAATGGCTCCCAATTGCGAGCTCGCATTTGCGAACACCCATTCGCATTTGTGAAGACTGGGGTGGGCAGGCCTTGGTCGCAAATACGACCTTTCCTCGCAATTGCGATGTCAAATGCGACATGTCCCTCGCAAATGCGAAGGTGACAGTACTTCCCCATGGTCGCAAATGCGACAAATTCTTCGCATTTGCGAAGATAGCAGGTTCCAAGGGGTTCGCAATTGCGAGCCCTGGTCGCAATTGTGACATCTGCGACCTGCTAAATCATAACTTAGCCGAAATCTTTCATTTTTCAAACTCTCTCAAACCCTAAGCTCTCTTGGGCGATTTTCCAAAGAAAAGTTCTTTTCCAAATCGATTGTAAGTCATTTCTAACTCATTTTCTTTAATCTATAACATCTTTTTACATGATTTTAACTCAAAATCAAGGGTTTTCATGGAAGAAATTGGGTATTTTGGATTTTCAAAATTTGGAGATTTGGACCTCGATTTGAGGTCCGATTTCAAAATAAATTATATATTTGAGTTCGTGGGTGAATGAGTAATCGGGTTTTGGTTAGAACCTCGGGTTTTGACCATGTGGGACTAGGGTCGATTTTTGACTTTTGGGAGAAATCATTTGAAACCTATTTTCATGCATTAGAATTGATTCATTTAGCATTTATTAATATTATTAAGTAAATTGTGGCTAGATACAAGAGAATTGGTGGTGGAACAAGAGGTAAAGCGGTTGTTGAGGCTTGAATTGTGTTCGTGGCATCGAGGTAAATGTTTGGCCTAACCTTAGATTGAGGGATTAGGAGTTGTGTCTTATTTGCTATATGTTAATTGTGGAGTACGACGTATAGGCATGGTGACGAGTATCTATACGTCAGTGCCATGCATCCCCGTGAGTCTCGTATTGTAATTGTTGTGACTCCGTTGCGATTCATTCATGCTTAGTATGATGATTATCATTGTTGTTCCCTTGCCGGGATGTTATTGTTTATGATATTATCTCCCTTGCCGGTATGTTATTGTTTATGATATTGTCTCCCTTGCCGGATGTTGTTGTTATACTCTTGTTCGCTTGCGGGGATTCTTTTATGCTTGATGTTGAATTGTATAATGGGATCGGGTTGCACGCCGCAACGGTAATATATGAAATGGGATTGGGTTGCACGCCGCAACGGTATTATATGAAATGGGATCGGGTTGTATGCCGCAACGGTATTATATGAAATAGG